ATGTTTTGTAAACAATTTTGGTTAAAATTTGCAACCAACATGGTTTGGAACTTTGGAAGGTCACACAGTTGCCAGAACAAGCATATTAAGTTTCTTAATGACTTGACTAACCAAGCTTACTAGAATGTCTCTTGATTTGTGGACCTGTACTACTTGTTTTACTTAACTCATATGTAGCACAGTAACAATAATCAATCAGTTCCAAGATGTCACATAGTAAATTTGCATGCAATTTGCAGCAAAGCAAAAACAATTGGTTAAAAACAGCAACTTTGCGTGCTTCAAACCGGTTGGAGTGGATGCATAAAGTGAATGAAGGAAGGGAGTTCCAGTTCTTAAGAAGCATAAATCACGCTATATGCAATACAAGCGTATGTCTATCGGTTCATGTTAGACTGCTGTAACTTATCTTCCTTGAAATGAAATGCTCAATGAACTATCAAAATTAGTACATCTATATGATAGGTTCATGATCATTTAAAACTGTGTTAAAGACCTATTCAGCCCCACCCGAGACCCCAGTATTTGAGACAAGCTTAATTTCATATTATTTAGCTAACCTAAATTATTCTGAACCATATCAAAATTAATCATCAAAAGTAGGGACTGTTAGGGTAATGCCACACTAGGCTGTTTCTGTCGCGCGATAATAATCGCAACGGGATTAGTTGCTGAGGGGTGCCACACTGATGCGACAGTAATCGCGGTGTCGCGACGGTTTTTGTAGCGCAAAATTTGACCCGGGGTGACACACCTGGGGTAAAAATCGTCGGCTTTGGCAGTTGTCAAGGATCAATTTTTATTTATATTAGTTTAACTAAACAAAAAACCTTTTGTTATAAAAAATACAACGATCTAAAAAATCACAAACCTACATATTATTTTAAAGGAAATTGCAAAACTCAACTGCATTATAAATTGATATTATTGAACACCAGAAAAAATCTTTAAAAATGCCATTACTTATTTATGTAAATGTAAATACTACTAACACTTGACCAAAAGCTAGATGAAAATAACCATATTACTTTCATTATTTGACAGTGTACACAATAAGGGTTTCCAATCAATCAATCAATCAATCAATCATATAATTTATTTGTCTTTTGGATTTTCACAAATCATTGACAAAGTCAACACATCAGCCTATGTCTAGGCCTACGTTATATACATACATACTACACATCTACAATACAATATAGTATAGGATTAAATATCTAGAGGATGTAAAAATGAAAATTATAAATTAACTTAACTTTTTTTCTTTTACGCTATCTATTAATAAAGTATGAAAACATTTAAGAGCTTAGTAAATTTCTTGAAGAAAAAAAAGAAAAAAAACAATGAAATAATATTAATTAGGAATAGTTACATTCCAACAACAGTAATTAACTACAAAAAAATTTGTTCAAGTTTTTTTGTCAAGCAATCAAAGAGGTTAGACAAAGTTGTGTAAATCATTTAAGAAACTAAATTTTAAATAACACTAAAAATCTCATGTAAAATACAATATAATAATATTAAAAGATAATAGTAATAAACATCAATAATAATAATAATAATAAAATAAAAAATAAAATAAAATAAGTGCAAAGATTACATTATGTTAGAATTTGATTTCACCAATTTTTTAAAAGTCATCTAATGTATAAAATGGGTCATCTAGTAACCAATTATAGAGTTTGTTTTTAAATTGATTTATTGAATATTTTCTAATCATAGGCTCAAAGATATTGTAAATTTTTTAAGATATCACCACGGCTAATAAAACATAACATAAATTGGGTTGTAATTTCAGTAGTTTGATGTTTATATTCAGCTAACAACTTATGCTCTTCTGTTATACTGTTTTTTACCATAAACAGATGTTTTAGTATGCAATTAATACAAATTATTATTTGTATAAGTACAATGAAGCGTGGCTGCTGCGGGACTGGCGGGAAAAACAGCCGAGTGTGGCAGGGTTGCCGACGACAATTCCCGACCAGTGTGGCACCCTCCATTTGATCCCTTGAGTTCTATTTCTGGCGCGACAGAAACCACCCAACTTCAGCGACAAAAACAGCCTAGTGTGGCATTACCCTTACAATGATCAGACAGCATAATATATAATGTGACAATGACCTAGAGCAGTGTGACTCAAGACAAAGTAGTTGCCCGCTCCGCTCCCAAACGCTTGAAAACACAAACAAGATTGTTCCAAAGTTAACTGCTCCGCTACCAACAGCTGTTTGTGTGCGCGTTACTACTTGATTGTATGGGTTTCATTTTGTTGCTCTAAATTGTGCCGCTCCGCTCCCAATCGCTGTATGTGTGTTTTTACCCTAATGGTACTAAAAATAAAAATAAATTGGCTTGTTCCGGGCAATACATAGTAGTAAATTTGTCTTCCTCTTTATCCCAAAACATCTCTCAGACCACTGATGGCACTGGTTTTGAAAAATAAATAAAACTAAATTTTAACTTTAAGAAAAGAAGTAAAACGAATGCAAGCTTAATCAAACTATCATCATTGAGAAACACCGATCTAGGTTACTATACTTTCTAAAATCGTCCTCTAATGTTTATTATATTAGATGTTATTAGGATACCAATGTATTTTTCTCACTGAGTAGTTTAACATTGTAGCACAATATTATTTTATTTTGAGCTATTAGTAAAAATGTAAATGGGATTTTCTTCAAACAGAACTTAAATGCTTGTGATAAGTTCGGAACCAGACATGTTTTACAGCCAAATGATTACACAGATACTCATAAAAAGTAATCTTTTTATAGAACAATGCCTTATTCTTGTCTCCAATAAAATATTGTGCCCCCCCCCCCCTTCTCACTAGTTAGCACTGATGTTGAAATGTTGTCTCACGTTGAATGCTCCATGCACGGTAAAAGATGGTGACTTGGCTTACTCATGGCAATGCATTAATTTGATACCAGTGTATGTCAGTTTTTTTAGTTAATTAAGTATTTTTTTTTGGAAACTCACAATATTTTTTTAATCAGCTTAAAATCACAGGCAAAATTATTGTCAAGTTAAAATGTAATTATTTAATTTAGGTTGTTAGGAATTCTTGGTTATTTGAAATAGTTTTAGTTAGGAAAATAAATCAAAACTTTTTTGTTCAAAACCCATTTATTTAAGATTGATATTATGAAAATACATTAGTCATTATTTTTATTGGTCCCTAGGTTACATTATCATTAATTAGATTTTTTCAAATTGGATTTGAGCAACTGATAACCAAATAAAACCCTTAATTTAAAATGTAGGTTATAAGTGAATTCTCGTCCTCAGAGCGAAGCTTTTGGTAACCTAGACAAAAAAAACTCAATGTTAATAATAATCTATTGAATCTGTCTGTATGTACAATAAAACTGATTTATGTTAGAATAGTTTGAATTTCCTTAAGCGAGTGTTACGGTAGTTTAATATATTCTTATCACCTTTCTTAGTGTTGGTAAATTTAATTCTTGGTTTCCTTTTATATACCATCAATATTAAAATTTAAAATCTTTTTGTGAATGATAAACTTTCTATTAATAGGCACATTGTGTATGGCTTGATGACAGAGGGAGAGTGATTTCAGATAAAATGATATAATATGTAGCAAGTCTAATACTTTTACACTAAAGATTATATCAATAAGTGGAGAACAGTGCTTTGATGTACACAAGATTTTATACAAACAGATGATATTTATTAGTGGGTTAGAAGTTGGACAAAAACAACAGCATTATTAATTTATTCTTAAAAACAATTTACTATTTCTACTCGTAAAACATTTCAGCTAAAATAAAATAACTTAAAGAATTTCATGTTCCAATTCCTTGTATCCTTATCGATCCCAAAATATACAGTCAATTCCCAATTTGTGTTTGCTACTTAACAAAAGTACAGTGGAACTTGGATAGTTAAAACAAGAATAGTAATGACTAATGTTGATGATCTAAAAATATGAATTAGATAGGTTTGGCAATAAAGAGTTTGAAAAGAGGAAAGTCACATTTTAAATTGATCAAATGTACTGAAAACACATATATAAGCTTGGGTGTGCTAGCCTAGAGGTTAGCGTCTTGGAGATGGGTTCAATTCTCAGCATATTCACAAAACTTAAATGGGTTTGGATTGCTTTTCCCTACAAGCTATTCAATTGACTTTATTATAAAAATACTGGAAAATGCTTTAATTTACTTGATTATAAAAATGAGTTATACAAATAAAAAGTAAAAAAACAAAACAAAAACATGTATTCAGTAAATATTAGGGTTTATACAGTACTCGGCTATTTGTTACTTTGCTATTTTTTTGGGAGTCAATGATTTGTAAGATAGGTTGACTTTGATGATGACATTATTACTTAAATTTACAAAAACTGAAAACAATGACTAAACATGCCAGAAAAAATTCAAAGCTGAAAAATGAAAACAGAGCATGTATGATGTGTAGAGGATCAGTGATGGACGAAACGAGGGTTGGCTGGGAAAGTGAAGCTGTGAGGGAGTATTGGAGGTGAAGGCAGAGACCTTGACTGGGTTATGTGGTGAGCAGTATCAGGCCATATAGCTACCCTGTGCACTGTTCAGATGCCGACTTTTGCACGTTGATGTTGTTAAACCCCAGTTGTCTTTTATTAATAGTTAAACAATTTTGAATTAGGTATCCACAATTATATTTGAATTGATGTTTTGACCAAGATATTTTGACATTATATCCACATAAATTGATCAAGATCGAATTCAAAAAGTATAGGAACTAAGGAAGTACGAATTAAGCACGTTCCATTGCACTATTAAAATGCACTGTGTAAAGTCTATTTTTTAATTGATATAAAAATAATATCACCATTGTATGGGAAGTAAAAATATAATAATTTAGATAGTTTATTACAATCCTTTGACAGTAAGTCGCAAGTGATAATGGAATAGAAGTAAATGAATGTTTTTTTTTTTTCAATAAACATCTGCTACATACAGAGGCAAAACTCAAACTGATGTACTTGCCTCTTGTGTAGATATGACAGGAGTCTGTCTGCCTCTCTCCAGCCTGTCTCGATGGCACCGTGAACAGTTGAGTAGAAGTGGTTGTGAGTGGCTTCTCCACCAAACATCAACACCTGTAACATCAACACATGTCACTTGCAGCAGTCTGTAGAGTACAGCAGCAAACCCTACAGTACCCAGCCTGTCTCAATGGCACCGTGAACAGTTGAGTAGAAGTGGTTGTGAGTGGCTTCTCCACCAAACATCAACACCTGTAACATCAACACATGTCACTTGCAGCTGTCTGTAGAGTACAGCAGCAAACCCTACAGTACCCAGCCTGTCTCGATGGCACCGTGAACAGTTGAGTAGAAGTGGTTGTGAGTGGCTTCTCCACCAAACATCAACACCTGTAACATCAACACATGTCACTTGCAGCTGTCTGTAGAGTACAGCAGCAAACCCTACAGTACCCAGCCTGTCTCGATGGCACCGTGAACAGTTGAGTAGAAGTGGTTGTGAATGGCTTCTCCACCAAACATCAACACCTGTAACATCAACACATGTCACTTGCAGCTGTCTGTAGAGTACAGCAGCAAACCCTACAGTACCCAGCCTGTCTCGATGGCACCGTGAACAGTTGAGTAGAAGTGGTTGTGAGTGGCTTCTCCACCAAACATCAACACCTGTAACATCAACACATGTTACTTGCAGCTGTCTGTAGAGTACAGCAGCAAACCCTACAGTACCCAGCCTGTCTCGATGGCACCGTGAACAGTTGAGTAGAAGTGGTTGTGAGTGGCTTCTCCACCAAACATCAACACCTGTAACATCAACACATGTCACTTGCAGCAGTCTGTAGAGTACAGCAGCAAACCCTACAGTACCCAGCCTGTCTCGATGGCACCGTGAACAGTTGAGTAGAAATGGTTGTGAGTGGCTTCTCCACCAAACATCAACACCTGTAACATCAACACATGTCACTTGCAGCTGTCTGTAGAGTACAGCAGCAAACCCTACAGTAGCCAGCCTGTCTCGATGGCACCGTGAACAGTTGAGTAGAAGTGGTTGTGAGTGGCTTCTCCACCAAACATCAACACCTGTAACATCAACACATGTCACTTGCAGCAGTCTGTAGAGTACAGCAGCAAACCCTACAGTACCCAGCCTGTCTCGATGGCACCGTGAACAGTTGAGTAGAAGTGGTTGTGAGTGGCTTCTCCACCAAACATCAACACCTGTAACATCAACACATGTCACTTGCAGCTGTCTGTAGAGTACAGCAGCAAACCCTACAGTACCCAGCCTGTCTCGATGGCACCGTGAACAGTTGAGTAGAAGTGGTTGTGAGTGGCTTCTCCACCAAACATCAACACCTGTAACATCAACCCCATGTCACTTGCAGCAGTCTGTAGAGTACAGCAGCAAACCCTACAGTACCCAGCCTGTCTCGATGGCACCGTGAACAGTTGAGTAGAAGTGGTTGTGAGTGGCTTCTCCACCAAACATCAACACCTGTAACATCAACACATGTCACTTGCAGCAGTCTGTAGAGTACAGCAGCAAACCCTACTGTCTCGATGGCACCGTGGACAGTTGAGTAGAAGTGGTTGTGAGTGGCTTCTCCACTGTTACATTTTCAAATAATAACTAAATTAGTTCAGTTGAATCAAACTCATACTTTAATGTAAACAGAAAAAACTAATACAAACAAAACAAATGAAAAATAACAGGTGATCATTAATTCACATACACATATGGTCTTAAGTCAGTACATCAGTTAAACACATCAATTCTCCCCTCTGAAATGTTTTGGTAACGTTATTTCACATTTGAGTAATTGGTCAACATGACGCCTCCAGACAGTTCCATCGTCCATTTGTACTTTATACAGAAGGTTGCTTTCCCTTTCCAATATTCTTCCAAAACTCCACTTGTCTTTTGAGTTTGAATAATTTCTCGCTTGTACTCTGTCTCCCTCCTTAAAATATCGTGTTGCTTGTTTCACATGTTCAGTTTCTTGTTTACGTGTAGGATGTAAAAGAGCTACGTGTGTTCGAATCTTCCTGCCAAACATCAAGGAATATGCATCACAGCCAGATGAATTTGAGGTTTGGCGTAACTGCATAAGCATTCTGAAGAGTTTGACGTCTAGTCTCCCTCCCTCGTCTTCCATTGCTCTTAGGGACTTCTTCACAGTCTGAACATAACGCTCAGCCTGCCCGTTTGACGAAGGGTGGTAAGGAGCAGTTGTTTTGTGTACCACCCCGTTTTCTGATAGGAACTGTTCGAAGACGGTAGACGTAAATTGACTTCCATTGTCAGAAACCAAAATCATGGGAAGACCAAATGTAGCAAATAATTTTCTAAGTTCTCTTGTGCAAAATTCTGTAGAAGTATTCTTAGTTGGTATTACCTCAATCCACTTAGTAAAGGCGTCCACAATAATAAAGTACCACTGTCCTTGCATTGGACCAGCAAAGTCTATATGTAACCTTTCCCATGGTCCCTGGGGAGCTAGCCATGGATGATTTTGTTCCTTTCTTGGTTCATTTTGTTTTAAACGGCATTGTTTGCACAATTTTGCCAATTATTGCTCTATATCTCTGTCAATATTCTTCCATGCACAATAGCTTCTGGCTAGGGATTTCATTTTCTCCATGCCTAAATGCCCGATATGAAGTTCATCAAGAACCTTCCGACGAAGGGATTGTGGTATTAGAACTCGACATCCTTTGAATATACATCCGTCTTGAAGTGTTAGTTCATTGTCATGGTATCCAAAAGCTTCCACTGATTTACCTTCTTCAAGTGCATGTAGTATTGGTTGAAGGTCTTTGTCGTGGGCTGTTGACTTAGAAATTGTAGAACTACTAATTTGAAAAGAATCGAGCTGACTAAGTTGAAAAAGGTCACAGTTGTCCCTGCCTTTAGTTGAAGCATGCTCAGTTGGGAACCGAGATAAAAAATCTACGTTAGCATGATCTGATGTTCTTCTGTATTCAATTTTGTAGTCGAATCCAGATAAAAAGTGTGCATAATTAAATAATCTAGTAGCAGATATTGATGGTAGTGTTTTTGTGGGGCTGAATATGGATACGAGTGGCTTGTGGTCAGTAATCAGAGTAAATTTCCGTCCATAACAGTACGGGAAAAACTTCTTAAGCCCCCAGTAGATGCCAGTGGCTTCCTTGTCAATTTGGCTGTAGTGCTGTTCACATTTTGTCAAACTGCGTGAGGCAAAACTTATCGGTCTCTCACTTCCATCGCTGTAACGATGTGAAAGAATAGCACCAAGACCCACCGGAGAGGCATCCGTTGCTAGTACCAGAGGCAAATCAGGATTATAATGTACAAGGACACGATCACTTGCTAGTTCTGATTTGACCCTTTGAAAACTATTCTCGCATTTCGAGGTCCAATTGTAGTGTGCATCTTTCTTAAGTAGTTGGTTGAGTGGGTGTAGAATTGTTGCTAAATCTTTTATAAATTTGTTGTAGTAGTTGTTAATCCAAGAAATTTGCGAAGTTCTGTTACGTTTTCTGGTCTTTTGCTGTTTAAGATGGAAGAGACCTTTTCCTTTGTTTTATGAATACCTTGAGCATCAATTATATGTCCCAGATATTGCAGACTAGTTTGAAAAAACTTACACTTTTCTCTGTTCAATTTTAAGTTTTTACTTTTTAATCTTTCTAGAACAACCTTTAATCTTTTCAAGAGTTCTTCAGATGTCTTACCTTGTATAATGATGTCATCAAAAAAGCATTGCACTCCGCAAATACCTTGTAAAGTTTTGTCCATAAACTGTTGCCAAAGTGAAGGAGCAACTTTGACACCAAACATTAAACGGTTAACTTTGTACATACCTTTATGTGTACTCAATGTCTGCATGTGTGCGCTGTCCTCATCCATTTTCATGTGAAGATATGCGCTAGAAATTTCTAGCGTGCAAAATACTTTTCCTCCGTTCATTTGAGAGTGGATTTCTTCAATTCTTGGAATAGGGTGGTTCTCATCTTTTATTACTCTGTTCAGTGTTACTTTGTAATCGGCACAAATTCGTACTTGTCCGTTTGGCTTTACCACTGGTACAATGGGAGTTCCCCAGTCAGAATGGTCAATCTTTGTTATAATGTTACAGTCCTCAAGAAGTCTTTTTAATTCATTTTCAACTTTACTTTTAAGGGAAAAGGGTATTTGTCTTGGTTTTACAAATATAGGTGTAGCATCGTCTATAAGTCTATAGTGTCCCAGATACTCAGGTATCTCTCCAATTTTACCATCAAAAACTTCCTCAAACTCGCTGAGGATGGTATCAAGACTTTCAGGTTGTATTGCGTTCACATTTTTTATCTCAGCCCAATCAATTGTCACTTCTCTGAGCCATTCTCTACCAAATATAGCATCTACATTTTGGTCAATAAGGTAGAGTTTTCCAACAAACTTTTGCATCTTGTATGAGCAATGTACAAATGCCATACCCTTGGGTTTGATAGGTTCACCCGTGTACGTTCTAAGTTCGATGTTGGTTTTAAATACTTTTGTACGTACATTCAGTTTTTTAAAATCATCATAGGACATTGTACTAAGGGCTGCACCTGTATCCAATTCCATTGGTACAGTTTTTCCTTCAATCGTTATGTCAAGAATGAATTTACCTTTTTGTCTGTCACTTAGTACATTAATTTCATGTTCATACTCACTGCCTTTCTCCGAGCCATCTTGAGTCTGGTATTGCTTCAAATTTCTGTTAGTCTGGTTCTTTTCCTGTAAGCATACACTTGCTAATTTTAGTACATTTTCTGCACTCAGCATCTATAAATTTACATTTGTTAGAAGCTCGATGAGAAGGTGAACCGCATCTGTAACATTTCCCTTTTAGATTGTCAAATTTTGTGTTGGGTCTCGTGCCGGTTTCTTGAAATGTTTGTCGATACAACATTTTCTTTGGCTTGTTCCTATCACTACTATTGGAATCCACCCTGTTCAAATCAAGGTGTTCCATTGTTTTGCGACATACAGTTTTGCTCTCAGATTTAGCTAGTTCCATTGCCGATGCTTCGTTAACAATGTCTTTGTGCGTGCGTTTCTCTCGTCCTTGAAGAAGTTTGGCTCGAATATCTATGTCATTCAA